ATCTTCAGCTTCATTCAGGTGGTTTTACCAGCTTTCAATGGAATTTTTAATTTCCTGGATATCTGTTTGAATCTGTTTCATACATTCTAGTTCTTTTATATATTGTTCACTCAAGGTTTCCATGAGTTGTCTATGCTCTTCTATTTTCTTATCAGTGTCATCTTTGAATATGCTGAACAATTGTTTCATTATTGTTGTCATTTCTCTTTTTACCTGAGACATTATTTCTGATCTGATGTCTTCTATGGCCTGATGGAGTTGTATCTTTACTTCAGTTGCTATCATTTCAGAAATTTCAGGTGTATGACTTCCAGGCTGTTTTGTGTGGATGTCTTCTGGACTTGTTCTGGGTGGTATGGAGATCTGGGATTGCATTTTGCTCCTTCATTTTGTCATTTTTGAAGATCCAGAGGTTCCTTGGAGAACTTCCTCGCTCTCTCAATTGTGTGTGAGTGACAGGGCAAGTGTCTGAGATCACCAGTGCTCAGTGCAGCTCCTGTGCTGGTGAGTGGTGGTAAGGTGGGGTCTCAGATGCTCCTGAAACTTTCCTGCCTTCAGTTGGCTCCCAAGCTGTCTATTCTTTTTAGTTGCCTATTTTTTTATTAGGTCTTTTATTTCATGGGGTCTAAGCTTTTGCAGTTTTCTACACATTTGATATTAGCTCTCTGTCTAAGTAATAGTTTGTAAAAACTTTCTCCCATGGTATATGCTGTCTATTCACTCTGTTGCTTGTTTCCTTTCTGTGCAGAAGTTTTTACTTGATGTGATCCCATTTCTTGAGTCTTGAGGTTTTTCCTTGTGCAATTGGAGTCCTGTTCAGAAAGTTCTTGTGTTTACCTATGTTTTCAAGAATTTTGCCTATTTTATCTTCCACCAGATTGTTTGTGCTTTAACATTTATATACATGATTCATTTTGATTTTGTTTTAGTACACAGTGAGACATATGGGTCTAGATTTAATTTATTGCACATTTATAGCCATTTTGCCAGCACCACTTGATAAAAAGTCTACCTTTCCTCCAGGGTAAGTTTTTGGTCCATTCTAATCGAAGATTAGAAAGCTGAATGTTGTTGTTGTCTATTCATCTACATGTCAGCTTTATGATAATTCTTTTTTATCACTGTAGCTTTGTAATATAATTTGAAGTCAGAAATTGTAATGCTTTCTGCTTTACTTTTATTGTCCAAGATTGCTTTTGCTATTCTGGGTCTCTTCTGGTTCCATATGAATTTTAGGGTTGTTTTCTTTTGGACTGTAAGAAATACTGTTGGTATCTTGATTTGGATTTTGTCAAATCTGTGTATCAACTTTCAAAATATGGCCATTTTTACTCTATTGATTTGGTCTATCTCTCCATTTTCTGATGTCTTCTTTGATCACCTTTGTCAGAGTACTGTAGTTTTCACTGAAAAGGTCTCTCATTTCCTTGGTTGAGTTAATTCCTCAGTATTTAATTTTTATTGATGCTATTATTAATGATATTGTTTTCCTAATTTTTTCCTCAATAAGTTTATCACTGGTGTATAGGAATGCTCTTGATTTTTATGGGTTGATTTTGTGTCCTGCTACACTAGCGAATTTGATTATTAATTCTAGTAGAATTTTTTGGATCTTCTATGTAGAGAATCACATCATCTCCAAATAATGATAATTTAACTTTCTCCATATATACTCCCTTTTACTTCTTACTCTTTCCTGATTACTATGGCCAATGTTTTGAGCACTGTATTGAACAGGGGTTGTGATAGTGGACATCATTGGCTTGTTTCTGATTTTAAAGGGAAAGCTTTCAGTTTTTCATCATTTTACTAAGATATTGGCAGTAGAGTGGTTATAAATTGCTTCTATCAGATTGAGACAAGGTCCTTCTATACCTATTTTCTTCAAGGCTTTTATCATGAATGGGTGCTGGATTTGTTAAAGAGAATTATTACTGAAAGGTATTGATGTACTCCTGCCATCACATTATTTTCCTGTTGCTGATTCCTGTTTTCTCTCCCTTCTGCTTACCTGCTCATCCAGCCTAGTGCTTTCATTCTGTTTAACCCTTTGGCATTGTTAGCTTCATTGCCTCTTTCTAGGATATTCTTGAAAACTTTTTGGAGTGCTTGTTTAGTAGTCATGCATTTCTTTGTTATGGAAAGACCTTATTTCTCCATCAATTTTGAGAGATAGTTTTGTGGGCTGTATCAGTCCAGGTTGGAAATTGTTTTCTTATAGGGCTTGAAACACTTCACTCCAAACTCTTCTGGTCTTTAAGGTCTGTGTTGAAAAGTCTTTGATAATTCTAATGGACTTACCTTTGTAAGTTACTTGTTGCTTTTCTCTAGCAGCTTTTAGGATTCTCTCCCTGTGTTGAACTTCTGGGATTTTGACTATGTTATGTCATATAGAGGTTCTTTTCTGATTTTGACTACTTGAAGTTCTATATGCTCCACTTATCTAAGGGTTAAATTTTCCTGATATTTGGAAAGTTTTCTGTTATGATTTCTATAAACAGGTTTTTTTATGCCATTGGTACTGTCTTCTGACTTTTTGCTAATTCCAATTAATGATAGATTAATCTTCTTCACATCACCTAGCAGCTTTTGGAATCATTTTTCACATACTCTTGTTGTTTTTAAGGTATCTCTGAGTATTTGGTCACCAACATTAGTTCTATCTTCTAATTCTGACATTGTTCTCATATTGTTCACTTCTTCCCAGAATTTTGATAGAGTTTTTAATCTTGTGGATTTCTGTTTGTACCTTTTTATGGACTTTAATTATTTGCTAAACTGGTCATTCAGGCTTTATATCATTTTGTTTAACTCAGCTAGCTATTTATTAGTGCCTTTTGTAAACTCATTGATTATTTTGTTTATTAAATTCATTATTGATTTGGTTATATCTTCTTTAAGCTCACTGAGAACTGTATCTTTTTATCACCTCTTTAAACATTTCACATAATTCAGCTGTTCAGCTTTTGATTTCTTCCTACCTTGATGTCCTATGGATAGCATTGGAGGAGTTGGAAGTTTTTGGAAAGGAAGGGAAGGGAAGCATTTTTTGCCTTGTTTTCCAATGATACAACTAACTATAATCCTTTGTCTCTGCCCCCAAATCCAACCACCTCTGTTAATTTAGGAAGGGAGAAAGCAGTGTAATTGCGCAGCACCCAGTTCTCCAGGAATGGGCCACAGTGTTCTTAATGACGCAAAGGCAATCCAGATATTGGCATACACAAGAACCAATTAATAGCAACAACTTTGCCACCCTGACAATAGCAACAAAATCAGAAACAATAATAGGGTCAAAGACACTGGATACTGATATACAATAAGAACCAATAAAGCACTAGTCTTAACCATAGAAAAGAAATCTATAATTATAGTATAAACACTAAAACAAACCAGATATTGACATACAGTAATTATCTAATAAATACAACAATATACTTGCACTAATAATATAATTCAATAGTAATAGTACAGAGTTAACTATTTAAAGATTAATAAAACTTAGTTGTTATATCTGTAAAGACAGAAAGGGAGAACAGCAGAATGAGAGAAGTAAAATTTTAAACATTAAGCAATGGAGAGCCAGGGATGTAGCTCAGTGACACAGTGCCTGCCTGGCAAGTGCAAGGTCATGAGTTCTATTCCCAGTACAAAAAAAAAAAATTAGTAAAAACAATGAAAGATGAGAAAGAAAGGAAGATAACATAAAGGATTCTATTAAGGGGTGAAGGAAAATTAATAGAATTAGATAAATGTAACAGAAAAGAACAAGCAAGGAAAGAAGAAAAATGAAAGAGCAAATTTTCAAAAGAAAATATTAAAAGAAAAAAATAAACCCCAAGCCCCCCAAATCAAGGAAGAATAAATGAAATAAAGTGAGTTTTAAAACAAATCTCTGTATTTGTGAATAAATGGTTTCTTTCCATGATCTTCAATCTTGGAATCTGACCACTCACGGTTTTCTCTGCCTAGCTTTATGGCCAGCAGGTTGGAGAAATGTGCAGGTACAGATGGCTCACCTCCTTACCACCATGTTTTCTGGTGAGGTATGCCCTCTGCTCCAGAGGCCCCTCTGTCCATACATACCAGCCTGTGTCAGCCACCCACAGTGAGGCTAGTCCTTGCTCACATTACTAAGCTCTTTACTTCTCACACCAGCTTCACATTCCTGTCCAGCCTCCTTTCAGGTCACCTGTATGCATCTGTGAGCATTGCTCGCCAGGCAGATCTTGTGGGCACAGCCTGACTCCTTCCACTTACATTTCTCTAGAAATGGGCTCACTGCTCCCTCACTTTTGAAGGACAGTGCTGCTAGGTGTAGGCTTCTGGTGCAGAGTATTTTCTTTCAGCACTTGCACTTAGGGAGCAGAAAGGGGTCCCTCCCTCATACTGTCCTTCCTGCAGATTAGAATGGGTTGGAGGGAGAAGGTCAGGGGGCCAAGAGATGCCCCTGAAGGACATGAGAGAGCTCCTGGGCAAGGCAGGCAGCAGCCCTAACGGAGCTAGCCTGATTCCTTCCCGCCTGACTCTGACCTGGGTCATGCTTCCCACACAGGAGCAGCTCAACCAGACAAGTAGAGCAGCCCAGCTGTGTACAAGTCGCCAAAGCAGTGGAAACAGATGCACAGCATCAGATTAGGCATAGGAAGGCACTGAAGACAGCCCATTGTGGAAGGTTGCTAGGGATCAGAGGGACCCATCCTCAGCAACTTGGGGAACAGGGTTCACCACCAGCTCTGATGCAAGAGAGGCCTTGTCAGTCACAGCCACACAAAGCAGGTCCCCCTACTCCAGCACTGCCACCTCCTGGCCTCCCACACTTTACCTGTTCCCCTCACCAATGCTGATTTCCTGCCCTGAGCTGGGCTCTCCATCTCCTTCACCTCTGTATCCCTGTCTTCTGCCTGTAAAGTCCTCAGGGAGTTTGCAGCTGGACCTGTCCTATCCTGCTGCCAGCTGCTGCCCATTCCCAAGTCTAACTCCAAGGCTTCATCCCTCAGGAGAGCCTCCTCAGGCCCAGACCCTAGAGGACTTCAGTGTGCGCACACTCTATGACAAGCTTGAGGATCAGAATCTGCATGTGGCTTCCCAGCTGAGCAGGCACCAGAGGGACGTGTTGGCCTTCTACAGGGCTGCTGGTCAGCAGCTCCAGGAGCTCCAGGTTAGCCCCTGTCCTAGACACTGGGTGGGGGCCACCTCTCCAGATGTTGCCTGAGCAAATAGGACCCTGTCACTAAAGGTGACACAGCCCCCATTCTTTCAGAACTTTCTGCAGGGCCTCAGCATGACGGACCTGAGCACACTGGGCAGGGATGGACAGTGTGAGACAGGGGCCAGAGGCGCCATGGAGACAGAAACAGGGCAGAGTGAGACATCACGAGGCAGCCATGCTGCTGATTCTCCCAGGGAGCACTGGCCACGTGCTGTAGGTGAGTGGCGAAAGAACATGGGAGGGCAAGTGGAATCACGGCATTACCCCTCATGGCTTTTCTCACTTCCAAGGATGGGATTTGCAGGGCTGATTCAGATAACAGGGGCACAGCCATCTCTTGTTAGCAGCATGAGGGACCAAGGAGCTCCTCTGGGGGAAGATGAGCCCACAGGGCATCTGACCAGGTGGGCGCAGACCTTTCCCGCATAGGCAAGGTCCTGGGATGCAGTTTTGATACAGATGAGTGAACCAAAATTGTCCAGGTTCTTGTGCATAACAAGGAAAGAATTGCCAGGCATATACCTTGTAGTGTGTAGTACATTTACTGAAAATCCCAGGGCAGCAGCAGGAACATGCAGAAGGACGAAGTGGGTGAAAAAGGGCCTTTGTAACTCAGGCTTCAGTATTTATAAGTTAGGCATCCACTGGCCTTAGGTGCCTCCTGCAGTCTCTCTACTGACATCAGCAATCTGAGCAACCTCCCAAACTTGAGCCTGCATAATTATTAGAGTGGTGTTGTGTTTATGGCTGAATGGAGAGAAGGGAGGTAGTTCACACAACTTCCTGTCTTAGGATTATGGAAGCATGGCTGATCGTTAGGGTGCTGCGATGTTTACAGTTGAATGAAGGGAAGGGAGCAACTCAGCTGCTTTGTTTCCTGCTGCACTAGTTTCACCTGGGCTTCTCTCCCACATCCCCAAGGATGTTGCTGTTAGCACCAGACAGACTTCACCTCGCTGAACCCACTCCATTGTCACAGGGCACATGTGACTGCTATCAGCATGCTCTCCACCTGCAGTGGGGGAAACAGGCTCAACAGTGTGCGGCAATCCCCCCAGGGTCAGGCCAGCAGTCTCATCTCCGCCCACACTCTCCACACACCTCTCCCACCTCCAGCTGAAGGGCTAGATCCAACTTCACCAAGCCCAGCGCTGGGCCTTCCCAGGAGCTCCCAGCTCTTCTGGGAGACTGGCTGCCCAATCCAGTGGGGGCCTTGCTCCGCAGTGAAGGTTGCCCTCCAGAAAGAGGTGATCCTTGAAAATGTTTAGGCTGAGGTTGTTTTATCCAAGACCCTGTTCTTGGGTCCCTTCTTTTATGACCACTGTCTCCAGATTGTGACCCTGGGCAAGGGAGTTAGGATCAGGTCAGATGTCAGAAACCCATGAGTCCCTGGCCACACCACAAACCTTGGACCTGCAGCTTCTGTGACCTGCCCTCCAAACCAGATGACCTTCTTGGGCTTCCTGTTGATACACCCAAAGAGTGTGAGAAGGAAGAAAGCCACTTTCCTCTGGAAGCTGCCTGAGACAAGCTGTGAAGCTCCAGGTCCTAACAGCTCCGCACACTGGCGCTATGCTCACTGTTGAGCAGAGTGTAGGGGCTAAATGAAGCTCACCGCCATCCTGGGCATCACCAACTGTAGGCCAGGGGAAATTTAGGTTGTTTCCTGCTGAGAGACACTTGTTTTTTCCCAGAAAATCAGAACATAAGAGAACTCTATCAAAAAGAAATAAAGCAACTAGTCAGCCCCTTGGGGAAGGTATGCTCTGTAACCTAGGAAACCAACCTGGGGAGGGTTCTGCATCTCCCTGCTGAGCCCTAAAAGGGTGCTCCCGGAGTGTAGGGCACAGAGAGAGCAGCAGGCACAGTGAGCAAGGCAGGACAAGAGAGAAAGAGACAAAGGAGACACTGACATAAGAGATGGGCAGGTCTACAAATACCTCTAGCTAAGAAAAAGCAAGCAACAGGCAGAGGTATGGGGGAGGGAAGGATGTACACCACGAAGCATCTGAGCTAGAAGCCCCCTGACTTTGATCAAAGCGCTGTCTACACCATGGAGCACAGCCCTGTGACATCTCAGGGAAGGATAAATGGAGAGGCCACGGCACAAGAGGGAAAATGGAACTAGAAGGCAAGAGGCACATGCTCAGCCCAACAAGAGGCAGAAACCCTCTTCAGATGGGTGAGGTGGGGGTGGGGTGAGACATCTGTGATGGCTGTGCCGGGCTGTGTCAGGGCTCTCGGCTCGGTCTCCTTTCCCAGGCTGTACCGCCAGAGTCTCTTCCCTGAGCCTTCAGCCAGAGCTTGACAGAGTCATCGCCGCCCTGGCATCTGTACTTTCTCAGGCACGTGTGCCACTGCCTGGGGCCAGTAGGAAGGTAAGAGGCCACAGAGGCAGCTCCGTGCATGTGTGTGGAAACCCCCTGCCTGTCGCCCTGGCCCCATGGGTCCGCTTGCACACTCACATGCTTGCACACTCTGAGTCCAAGACACTCACAAACACCCATACACGTGCCTGTACATTCACACTCCCACGCGCCCTGAGGCCTGCTCTCCCTGGCTGGCCCTGCACTGTGGTCGGAATCAGATGGCTCTGTGTGTTCTTCCCAGGCTTCTGGTCAGTGCAGTGAACAGGCTCCGTCCAGCAGCCAGTCTGACCCATGCCTGAGCGCTCAGGCTCTGCCGCCTGTCCAGGAGCCCCAGGGCACAAGGTAGGGAAGCATATGTAGAGCAGTGCACTCTGAGGGGTGCCCTTAACTCTCTGGCTCTGACATAACCAGAACCTGACTTAAAGCCTTAACCCGTGCAAATCCCAGGATGCCTGGTGAGCCTGGCCTCCTCATTTCAGGGCCTTGAAAGAGATTTGGGGTTAAATTGCCCACAGTGACCCAGCTGACCTGCTCCAGATGGAATCATGATGGTCCGTAAGGGAAGGCACATCCAGGCATGCAGGACATGTGACCACAGTCACAGCTCCCAGCCAGGCCTGACAGGTGCCAAAAAGCAGCCACTTCGGCCAGCCTGACAGAGGAAGAACAAACCTTTCCTCTGCCCTGTGTGGCCCAGCACAGGGCCCTGCAATTAGGCTAACAAAGGAGGCCAGATCACAAGAGAAAGCACAGTGCCGGGTCAGCTACAGAGCAGGAAGAAGGGTGGTAATTCAAGGCGGCAAAAGGACTTGAATTTCTGCAGCATTTTTAAGGGAACAGTATGTGTTTACAGAAGGGGCAAGACAAAGGGAAGGACTTGAGTTCCTCTGGCAGCCAGTCGTGGGAAGGTGAACATCCGGGAAAAATTCATGGAAGATAAGCGCAGGGTGAGGAGGGCAGGTGACAGCCTTACGCGTTTTCATCCTGTTAGGGAGATGGGCAGGCCACGAGCTTTTCCTGAATCTGCTTCTCAGTGGCCTCAGCTCAAAGTACTTCATGAGCCAAGGTGGCAGTTTTGGGGGTGCAGTATGTTCCCCTTCACTGATAAAGCCCTGTCCCGGAGGAAGGCAGGCCATCCATCAGTCCACGGGTTCAAGGGCTTGTCACCTTCTTGGTGTTATTAGGGCTGCATCCATCTCTGACTTCAGACCCCGCAGGTTAGAGTCAGCTGTGACAAGGGTTCCATTCTGGTCCCAGCTGATGTGGGTTCTCCACCCGGGTGCAGAGCCTGAGAGGACCCGTTCTCTCCACTCATCCAGACCCCAGCAGGACCCAAGACCTCTGTGGCGTCCCCAGGGTAATGCTGAAGGAAGTGCCCAAAGCCCTGATCCTGGGACATGGATTCTCAAGGCCGGACCTCGGCATGGCGTTGAAGCTGAGCTGCAGGTAGGTGCAGCCCCTGTGTAACCCAGGCTGGATGCAAGCTCATAATACTCCTACCTCAGCCTACCAAGTGCTGAGATTACAGGTGTGTGGCACCACACCCAGAGGTAAGTTTTGATGACTTTCTTCACTATTTGTATTTGTATTTGTTTAAAAAGACATGTCTTCATGCACAGAAATTCTTTCTTCTGCCTGCTCTATTCAGCTTTTGAGGCCGTTATGGTTTAAATCCAAACGTCTCCCCTGAGAGCCTCCTCTGCTACCGGGTGGAGGTTTTAGAAGCAAGCGAATCACAGAGGAGGCACAGCTGTCCTGCTGTCCTGAGGTGGGGCCGGGTCAGGGAGGCAGTCACTGTCACTGGTGTGTGTCCGGGAAGGATGTGTTTCCCTTACTGGCCCCTCCCATCTCTCTGTCTCCTGGCTGCTGTGGTGTGAGCAGCTTCCACCCACCCAGGCCTTTCCGCTATGCTGCTTCTGTGTCTGAGCCTGCCGACATGAACTGAAACTTCAAAACTGTGTACCAATAAACCTCTCCTTTTAGTTGCAGATGTTGAGTATTTAGTCCCAGTGACACAGAAAGTAGTTGAAGAGCCTCTGAAGCAGAGGCTCTCAAATGTTGACTACTTTAGCTCAAAGATTTATTTTTTCTTTATTGTCTCTATTTGTGCTGAATTTCTCACGCATGTAATGAATTGTCTGTTAAATTCATTGAATTGTCTGTTCATATTTTCTTTATTTTATTTTTTCTTAGTATGTATTTGTCATACATAGTAATCACAGTCATTATGGGTAATTTGTACCTGTACATAATACGTCTCAGTTCTTCCCCTCCCCACTTACAAAAGCTTTGTTTCCATTTTTTTCCTTCCTTCACTTTTTTCCTTTTACTTCCTTCCATTTTCTCTCTCCTCTCCCTGTTCCTCATCCCATCTGAGCATGTTCTTCCTGCTTCCCAATATCTATCCTCCATTATGCCCTTTATTTACTCTTGATTTCTCACACAAGAAAAACAATCTGATATTTAAACTTATGTGTCTGATTTATTCCACTTAAGATTCTGGTCTTGAGGTACATCCATTTTCCTACCAATGATTCAAGTTTATCCTTCTTTATGGCACAGTACTAATCCATTGTATATAAATACCACATTTTTCTTCATTCATTCATCTTTTTATGGGCATATGTGCTCTTTCCAAGATTTAGCTATTCTAAATGCTGCTGCTAAGGATATGGCAATGCATAGGTCTCTGTAGCATAATGCTTCTTACTCTTTCAGGAAGATGCCCAGAAGGTGAACAGCTGGCTCAAGTGGAACCTATAGTTTTAGTTTTTTGAGGCATCTCTATACTGATTTCCACAGTGGTTGCATCAGTCTACACTCCCACCAGCAACGGAGAAGGGTTCCTTTCTCCCCACAGCCTCACTAGAATTTGTTATTGGTTGATTTCTTGATGATAGCTATTTTTTCTGGAGTGAGATGGAGTCTCAGTGTTGTTTTAATTTACATTTCTTGAATGACCAGTGATGTTCAGCACTTTTTCATTATTTATTTGCTGTTTGTACTTCTTCATCTGAAAAATGTCTATTTATGTCAGATGTGCTTTTTTAATTGGGTCTTTAACTTTGAGGGATCTGATATTTCTGAGTTATTTATATATTCTAGATATTGATTCTTTGAGGAGAAGCTGGTAAAAAATTTTCTCATTCTGTGGGTTGTCTCTTCACTCTGTTAGTGGTTTATTTTTCTGTGCAAAAGCTTTATAATATGAAAAGATCCCAGTTGTTGATTCTTGACAATATTTCCCATAAGATCAGGGTTTTGTTCATAAACTCTTGCCTATACCTTTGCAGTCTAGAATTTTACTGATTCTATCTTCCAACAGATTAAATGTTTCTGTTCTTATATTTAGCTCTTTGATTCATTTTTATTTTACTTTAGTACATAGTGAGACATATGGAGAGGTTTCTTTTTCTTCTTCTTCTCAAGACATATGGCTAGGTTTCTTTTTCAGCATGTGGAAAGCCTGTTTCCCAGGCACCATTTATTAAAGAGGCTATTTTTCTTCCAGTGAATGTGTTTGGCACATTTTCCAAAAATAAGGTAGCTAAACATGCTTGGAGTTGTTTCTGCATCTTCTATTCTGTTCCATTGATCCTCGAGTCTGTGTTTTGTTTTATTGGCCATTACCATACTGCTTTTATCATGGTAGCTTTGTAGAATAACTACATATCAGGGATTGTGATGCCTTGTCTTTGTTGCCCAGAATTATGTTATCTGTTCTAGGTCTCTTCTGGTTCCATGTAAATTTTAAGATTGTTTTCTCTACTTCTATGAGGTATGCTATTGGTGTTTTGATTAGAATTGCGTTGAATCTGCATAAGTTTTGGAAATATGGCCATGTTCACTATATTTTTTCTGCCTATCCAAGAATAAGGGATATCTTTCCATTTGCTGATATCCTCTTTGATCTTCTTTTTCAGAGTACTGTACTTTTCAGTGTTTTGATCTTTCACTTCCTTTGTTAGGTTGATTCCTAAGGGTTGTTTTTTTTTAGTGCTATTGTGAAAGGTGTTGTTTCCCTAATTTCTCTCTCAGTGAGTTTGTTATTCATGTACAGGAAGGCTATTGATTTTTGAGTGTTGTCTTTGTATCCCACTACACTGCTGAATTTGGTTTTTAATTCTAGGAGTCTTTTGGTGGAATTTTTGGGGTCTTCTATGTAAAGTATCATGTCATCTGCAAATAATGATAATTTAACTTCTTTCTTTCCTGTCCATAGGTCTTTTATTTACTTCTTTTGTCTAATTGCTCTGGCTAATGTTTCCAGAACTATACTGAATAGGAATGGTAACAGTAGACATCCTTGTCTTGTTCCTGATTTTGAAGGAAAACTTTCAGTTTTTGCCTATTTAGTATGATATTGGCTATTGATTTGTCATAGATGGCTTTTATCAGATTGTGATAAAGAATATCTTTTCCAATTTTCTGTAAGGTTTTTATCACGAATGGGTGCTGGACTTTGTCAAATGCTTTTTCTGCATCTCTTGAGATGGTCATATGATTTTTGCCCTCAGTTCTACTAATATAGTGTGTTACATTTACTGATTTACATATGTTGAACCATCACTACATTCCTGGGATGAATCCTGCTTGGTCAGGATATACTATTTTCTTGATGATTTGCTGCTTTCTTTTTGGCAGTACATTATTGAGAATTTTTATATCTAAGTTCTTTAAGGAGATTGACCTATAATTGTCTTTTTTGGTTGGATCCTTCTCTGGTTTTGGCATCAGAGTAATGCTTGCTTCCAGAATGAGTTTGAGAGTACTGCTTCCCTCTTTGAGGAGTAGTGGCATTAGATCATCTCTAAAGTTCTTGCAGAATTTAGCAGTGAATCTGTTAGGACCTGGGTTTTCCTTTGTTGTTAGATTTTTTATTACTTCTTCAACTTTAGGTTATTTGGGCTATTTAGAATTTTTAGACCTTCTTGATTCAGCTTTGGTAATTCACATACATCAAGGAACCTGTACATTTCTTCTGAATTTTCCATCTTATTAAAATACAGGTTCTCAAAGTAGATATTGATGATTTTGTGGATTTCTGCAGGAACCATTGTGATTTCATCCCTTTCATTCCTAACTGCATGTATTTGGGTCTTTTCTTTTTGTGTTTTTTTTTGTTTTGTTTTGTTTTGTTTTGTTTTGTTTTATAAGTTGGCTAAGGGCTTGTCTGTTTTATTTTAATATTTCACAGAACCAACTCTTTGATTTATTGATTCTTTGTATTGTTTTCTTAGTCTCAGTTGCATTGATTTCTGCTCTGATTTTTATAATTTCCTCCTTTATACTAACTTTGGGTTTAGCTTGCTCTTTGTTTTTCTAAAACCTTGAGGTTGCTCTTTGTTTTTCTCAAACTTAGGTTATTTATTTGAGCTTTTCCTGTTTTCTGATGTGATAATTAACTGCTATAAATTTCCCTCATAGACCTGCTTTCATTGGACCCCATAAGTTCTGGTATGTCGTATTGACATTATCATTTAATTGTAGAAACTAATTTCTTCAGCGACCCATTGGTTCTTATTTAGTTTCCATGTGTTTATGAAGTTTTTATGGTTTCTTTTTCCATTAATTCCTAGTGTCATTGCATTATGATCTGATAATATGTGTCAGATAATTTTAATTCTCTCACTTTTACTTAGGATGTTCTATGAGCTAGTATGTGCTCTGTTTTGGCTGAAGTCCTGTGTGCTGCTGAGAAGAATATACATTCTATCTTTGTTGGGTAGAACACTCTGTAGATATCTCCTAAGTACATTTGGTTAAAAGCTTGGTTCAGTATGATATTTCTTGATTTTTTGTGTGTGTGTATTTGGTCTATTTGTGACAGTGATGTATTGAGATCCCCTGTTACAACTGTATTCACGCTAATCTGGTTTTGCATATCCATTAGTGTTTTTTTTTCTACAAGAGTGCCAGTATTTGGTGCATATATGTTTATGATTGTTATCTCTTGCTCTTGGATTGTTCCCTTAACAAGTATGTAGTAACATTCTTTGTCTCTTCAGTCTTGGTTTGACTGTCAGTCTTGGCTTGAAATCCACTTTGTCTGCAAATAGAAAAGCTACCACTATTTTTTCTGGTCTTGTCACATGGAATATTGTTTTCCATCCTTTGGCTTTCAGTCTATGAATTTTATCTTGAGTTAAATGTGTTTCCTTATGCAGCATATTATTGGCTCTTCTTTTTGTTGCTGTTTTCTGAGACAGAGTCTCACTATGTAGTTCAGGCAGGCCTTGAATTCCCTATGTAGCCCAGCCTGGACTCAAACTCTTGGCAGTCCTCCTGTCTCAGCCACTCAAGTGCTGGGACTATAGCACTACTGTGTGCCACCAAACCAAACTGGACCTTCCTTCTTGATCCATTCTGCCAGTCTATTCATATTAATAGTTATAGCTGATATGTCTTGACTTGGTTCCCTTCTTTCCCTTCTGTTTAATTGCTTGCCTTGCCTGATGAATTTATTCTATTGGGATTCTTGGAATTGCCTTCATTGCCTTTTTGTAGAATATCCTTCAGAACTTTTTGGAGTGCTGGATTTGTATTATTAATTTCTTCAGGTGTTCCTTATCATGGAAGTATCTCATTTCACCATCTATTTAGAAAATAATTTTGTGAGGTACATCAATCTGGGCTGGAGATTGCTTTCTTTTAGTGCTTGAAATACTTCACTCCAAGCTCACTTTGATTTAAGGGTTTCTTTAAGAAGTCTGTGATTCTTTCTGTTGGTTTTTTTTGTTTTGTTGCCACAGAATCTCAGTAGTAGTTCAGGCTCATCTTAAACTCATGATGCAGCACTGGCTGGCATTGAATTCACAATCATCTTCATGTCTCAGCCTTCTGAGTGCTGCAATTATAGGTCTGTGCTTCCATGCTTGGCTCTCTGCTTCTGATTGCTTCTTTATAGATGATTTCTTTCTTTTTCTCTAACAGCTTTTAGTATTCTGTTCTTGTATTGAATTTCTGCAATGACTGTTATGTATCTTGATATAGGTTTTAAATTTTTTTTTCTAGTCATGACTCTTTGGAATTCTGTATGTCTCAGTTACAGATCTCAAGTTATTTTTTTCCATGCTTAGAAAGTTTTCTGCCGTTACTTTTGTGAACATATTTTTTATGCCCTTTGTCCTATCTTCTGGTTCTTTATTGATTCCAATTAATCTTATATTCTTCTTCTTTGCATTGTCTAGCAACTGTTGGATTGATTTCTTGTGGTCACTTGCTATTTTTAAGAGATCTTTTATTTGATGATCACCAACCACAACCCTGTCTTCTGGATCGGATAATATGTCTTTAGTTGACTCTGCTCTGTATACTTTCAGTCAAATGTTTAATGTCCTTGATTTCTACTTGAATCTGTTTTATGGAACCTAGTTGTTTTCTATGTTGTGAATTTATGGTTTCCATTTCTTTCTGAAGCTCCTATATTTTTTTACCCATACCTACTCTAGATTCACTAATCATTTCCTTCATTATGGTCATCATCTCTTTAATTATCTCGCTTTCATTTTTGTCCAGAGACTTGTCTGTTTTGTTACTTCCACTGGCACCATTTCATAAAATTCAGCTGGGAGGTTTTTTTTTTATTTCTTTAACCTCATTGCCTGTTTAACTTGCCTTGGGAAAGTTAAGGATTGTAAATTGCATCTTGCTTCTGTGTTTTCTCATTTTCTATTTTTTAATTTGTTTTCTGCATTGAGGCTTGTAAATTGCTTACGGCAGGTAGCTTTATTACTGATATCAAGAACCTTTGGGAAATTGGAAGACTTTTCAGAGATGTCTTCTAAGCATAGCTGGCTTTTGGCCTTTGAATCTGACCCAATTGAGATCTTGCATCTTCACTTTACTATGCTGCCTATTTGGCCTAGCACTCAGTTCTTTGGTTCTGCAATATAGTATTGTTTATGACCCCCTAGACAATCCAGGTATTGGCACACAAGGGAGTCAATGGATCACAGCAACTATTTCACCTTGACTAAAATAATACAATCAGTAATAACAATAGCATCAAGCATAGACTAGAAAATGACAAACTATGATAACTTCTAATTTGCCAACTTTATCCACAAGTGCAAGAATTATAACTATATAATAAGATTTAAGACAAATTAGAAAATTATACACAGTGAATTTACCTTCAGAGGAAAAAATTTTAAAAGGATAAGAAGAAAAAATTGAAAAATATAAGAAGAAAAAGGAATTAGAAGGCTGAAGGACAAAAGATTACCCAAGCCACAGGAAACTGAGGAAGAAGGCAAGAGGGACAGAAAAAAGAAAAGACAAAAACAAGAACAGAACAAAAACACTAAAAACAATGTTTACACTCTGAAAAACAAAAACAAACAATAAAAAAATCCATGAACCAAACCAAAAAACAAAAAGTGAAAAAAAAATATTTTTTTCTCTGTGATTTCAAGTCTGTGGTTGTTTTTTGGTATCAACTGTTTTGTGGTAGAGTCCAATTCAGGGCATGACTCTGCTCTTGCTGATAGACAAAAGAAGCAGTCAGAGCCCAGATCCATGCTGGAAAATCCTGCAGCAAGCAAGGTGCTGGTTCTGGTGCTTTCAAATCCACAGAAGTTCAGTTCAAGTTGATCCTGCCCTCTAGTCTTGGGAATGGGACCTGTGTCTTTCAGCCTATAACACTTTGGGTGTCTCTTGCTAGCCTGACTGTGGCTCCCAGACCTTGGGCATCTTCCACATTTGTCCTTCATCCAGTCACTGTGGGATTTCAACACTGGGAGTCTGAGATGAAGCCAATCCATGATTGCTCTGAGTCCTGGTTGAGTTGGTTCCTCCCTAAAATGCTGTCTGACCAACACCCTCTCCAGGGGACATGGAGATTGCTTGGGCTGGACTCACTCACCAGCTGTTGCAGCATCTACTCCATTGGTGTGTTTCTCCCTAAAGACCTCTGAAGTCACCCACTTTTACTGTGTCTCTGTCTATTTGATCTTCCTTTCTCACACCACAAGCCAGGACCTGGGGAGAAAGTGCACATTGCCCCCTCCATTTTCTGCATTTTGGTTTGTCTCTTCACTTTCTCTCTGGGCTTCAACTTTCCCTTCAGGTCCTTCCTGTGTTCTAGGGGTCTGCCTCCCACCTTCTTTTTTCCCCAAGTTGTTATTTTCCACTGTCAGGATTCTGAATCTTGGAGAGGTTGGTTTGTTGCTGCTTACTATTCCATCATCTTCCCCAAAGTCCTCTGTCCCTATTTTCTCACATCTCATGCAATCTTCTAATCATTATTTTGAATTCTTTGTCAAAAACTATCAATTTCCTTATCTTTATGATCTATTGTTAGAGAAGTATTGTGAGAAACTGCATGGAGGGATGGGAGAGTGAGTGGATGGATGAATGGAAGGATGGACAAACAGATGAATGAATGTTCCTTGTGCTCACTCTTTTCTCACATGCTATTCCTTTTGCTTAGAATGTCCTCTCTCCCACCTCCACCCAACTAATTTCTGTGCATTCTTTATAACTCATTTGAAAGGAGTTATAAACAGCTTTTCTCTAGAAAGCTCTCCCTAACTTCACTTAAAAGGTTAGATGTCCTATCTTGGAGCAAGACTGCAAGAAATTTTTAATAAACTTAGAATAAAACTAAAAGTGACGAAGACCCTGACTTGATAAAGACCCTAACCCAGCTCAGCAGTAGACTGCTTGCTTAGTGTGTTAGAGTCCCATGTTTGATCCCTATCACTGCAAAAATAAATATCCTTTGTTAGGTACAGTGGCATGCATCTGTAGTCCCAGAAATTCTAGCCCAGCCTGAGTAATATAAGAAGATTTCATCTCCAAAAGAATGAAAGAAAAAAAAAGGAAGGAAAAAAGAGAGGGAGGGAGGAAAGGAAAAAAGGAGGGAAGGAGAAAGAAGGAAGGAAAAAGGAAGGATAGAAGGGAGAAAAGGAGTAGGGGAAAAGGGAGAGATGAAGGAAGAGAGGAGGGGAAGAGAAAAGAAATAAAAAAGAAAAAAGATCCTGTGTCTCTTGTCCCTAGAGAAAGATAAGACAGGTGGAAGATACCTTGGACAAGCTGAATGAGGAGTTCTTCCAGCTCACTGCTCAAGCCTTGGAGCTCCAGAGTGTGGACAAGCCAAACCAATTACCCGCAGGAGAAGGCAACACCTTTGTGGTAAGCCAACTGAACATCTCAGTCCCTGAGGTGTCTACAGGTGGGATCCATGGGGTCAAAGCCCCTTCACAGAGAAAGGTGGTGGCCAGAACAGCCAGTTCTGGCCAAAGTGTTCAGCAGCCACAGATGGTGCTGCTTCCTTAGTTTGGTGATTAGAAGGCTATGCGAGAAGACCAAGACCTGGGGCTATGAACATAGAAACCCATGCAATCAGGCTGGAGCATAGCTCTCCAAGCGAATTTGCAGCTAGAAATATTGCAGAGGACAAGGAAAAGAAGTAATAAGCAGAAGAGCTGTGGATATTGCCTGGCTAGCAATGTCTGCTTCTGGAGCCAGTGCTTTCCAAGAGCTGTATCTTCCTTCCATCTTGCTGTCCCCATCACAGCACAACTAAAATTTGTGCTCCAGATGCAGAGAAGGCTCTAGGGAAAAGATAAAAAGATGGATATGACTATGCAGCATCCATTCCACTGGTGTATTTCTCCCTAAATACCTCTGGAGTCATCCGCTAAAGCCAGCACACAGCCTGTGTTCTCTGCTGGGCTGAGAAGCCAATTCTTTCCCAAAGCACCCTCACTTGGCCTCAGCAGGCAACTGTGAAACCAGCTCCACTGCTGAACCAGTCTCGGGGGCCCATCTCTGACTGTATTGACTGTCAGAAGATAATAATTTGTGAGGACCAAAGCATAGGAGAAAGAAATTTTCACTATAAACATCCCTGAAGTTGAAGGGGCTGAGCTGAGGGGCCATGGAGGCAGTGAGGAGTACTCTGTAACTCTTCCAAATATTCAATCTGAGCATTGGTTCTTGTCTTGTTTTCATATGGCAACATAACCTGGGGACACTGTGTCTCCATATGGTAACCAGGTTCCTGCAGGAAGCTTTAGACACCTTCCAAGTGAGGGAGTTCTGGTGCCCAGATAACGTCATTGAGCCATGGGTCATGGCACAGGGCAGAGAGAGCCAAGAACTCTCTGGGTTACCTCCTGACCTGTCCCACACCTGTTCTGTCCAGGTGGCTTCCAGCATGCTCCCTGGTATGTGGTGGAATGACAGAGCTGACCCCATGGTGTCAAGTCACACTGACATCCAGAGGCATGGGCCCCAGGCCCTGGAGGGTGAGCAGGCTCTGGCGCTGGAGGTGCAGAGAATTCACCTTGCCCAACAGATTGAGGACCTGGAGTGGGAGCTGTCGCTGCTCCTCCAGGTGGCAAATGGTGGTTCAAGAGCAGAAAGGACCCAGTCCAGCTGCAGGGCCAGCCTGGAAGGCTCTGAGTCACACTGAGATGACACCTGCAGAAGGCACCTTCTCTACTCAGGATGCATCCAGGAGTCATGTAGGAAACGGTATCTGCAGCCGGGGGCTGCTGGGGACCAGACTATGTAAAAGCTAAATTGCTGACCATGAAGGGACCTCTCGCCAGGTTGGAAAAGCTTATATTCACAGTGCTGTAAAGATAAGGTAACACCACAGCTGAGGCAGCAGAGAACAGGAGGACACAGGCCGTTGACACTCCCTATTCCAGAGCAATAAAGCTGCCACCCTAAAGATCGAACAGTTTTCTTAATTGGCAAGATTTACTGCCTTTGTTTCTTAAGACCCTGGTCATTTTTGCAGGCTTTTGCCTCCGATGTGCCCTCTTCTTCCTGCACACCCAGTCTGTGGAAATCCAGTAAATAATATGAGTGTGATCCAGACAATCTTATCTTAGCTCCTAGAAAGTTCTGGCTTTCCTAGATCTCCCAAAAACCATATTCCACTTTCTCTTTTTATTTAAGCCTTCACTGTAACTCATCTTAGGAGGTTGGAGGCTAGGCCCTGTCCCCAGTAGGGGGCTGTGCTGGTTTATGACAACTCCCATCATGGACACTGCATCATGGTCAGCCTGGAACTTGACAATGTGCTGAATTCTGCTTTGATCTTTTGAAAGAGTGACAATAAAGTTGACTAGGTTAAGAAAACTGATGTACTCTATCATCATTCTCTTATTCAGGTCCTGGATATTGTGTCCTATATCAGGCCAATGGCTATGAAGGGTCACCCAGGGTACCTGGCTCAAGGTGGGAATTACCCAGTTGGGGCTGTGAGAATGAAGGTGTGGCACAAGCAGCTACTCAAGCCCTACTTTCCATCTTGCTTCTGCTGAGTTTCCAAGGCCAACATGGCTCCATCCTGGATGACAGGCAGTAGATGGTATACAAAACCTGATTGCCAGAGTTATGCCAAGGGCCTCCAACAGCAGGGGGTACTCCCTGAGGACAGACAGAGCCCAGCCAATCATACTGCAGCTCTCTGGCCCCAGGATGCCCATGCCTCCCACACTCTGTGCCTTGTGAAAAGTTCCTTTCTAGAAGGTCTCTCCATCACTACTTTGTCTCAGCTGGAGACATTTCACCTCCTGACACACCCCAGAGCCCATACACCCACCACACTCTTCCTGACTCCCATCCTGACCTCCCCTTCGTCCATCTCCACCTGCATGTGGTTCCTACCTTAGTCCCTTGTGCCATGTGGAGACTCCTCTTAGTATGAGAGCACTCAGAGCATAGTGCACTAACTCCCAGACCCTTGTTATACACGCGCGCACGTGCGCATCTCTGAGTTCACTGTTTATAAGCAGGGGGTATCAGGCTCATAAATGCTTTGTTAAGGCAGCTGGCACACCGCTCTAACCAGAGATCACACAGTCACATCAGGAGGCCACAGCAGCCCTTGAGGGATGGACTTCATATATGACAGTGTAGAATGAAGGACCAACCTGGTAGATGAACTAAAATGGAGGGAGGCACTCAGAGCTGAGGGGCATGCTGTAGCTAGAGTCCTTAGGGACAGCATCAAGGAGGGCCTAGTTGGTCACCTTAAGCTGTGGACAGAGGATGCTGGCAAGAGGAGGGGAGGAAAGAGCTTCTCGGGCTAGTGAGATGGCTAGAAAGATTAAGGAGAGAGACATACGCACAGTATTAGCCAGAAGGACCAGAACAGCCTCTACTGGAAAGAAGAGCCTGCAGAAGGAAGTAAGAGGCACCCTGAAGCCTGTGGGTCACCAGCAGGTGTCAGCAGTTCACTCTGTGATGTGGCGCTGGCTGGGGTAGCCTGGCCCTAGGCTGTGGATTCCCAAGGACTTCCCTTCCATTCAGAGCTCCATGTCACCACCACTGAGCAAGGGACATGCTGTCATAGAAGACCATAGCAACTGGGTCCTCCCTGGAGACCATGGGCGGAGGCAGGAGGAACTCTGGCTTTTCTGGCTGATTTGACCTTCTCAGAAGTGCCACCACGGTTCTCTATGGACATGACCCTGTCCCACCAGTAGCACCAGGTCCCTTCACAGGGCAAGATAGTTACCCCAACTCCAGATAGAAAAAGAACCTGAGGATGCTGGTTCTCCACTGCCCTGGGCTTCCAGGCAGCCCCCTTTGTGTTCAGACTGCTATTCATTAGGCTCTAGGGTGGACACCACTGGCCTGAGTGACCACATTTGTCTTCATACATCGATGGACACAGGTTCAGGAGAAACTAAAGCCCAGAAGTGAGCTGGGAGGCCAAGGATAGCTGCAGTTGTGGGTTATGGGTAGCCAACAGTCAGTCCCTATGGGTAATGTCTGTGAGTCTGTTGTATCGTCCTAGGAAGAGCTTGCTCACTGCAGAGGAAGACGTGTCCATCAGACCTGAGCCCAAGGCCATTTCTCACAGGACCTAAGTCAACTACTGGCCCAGCTAACACTCAGAAAACTCAGAGACCAACACCATTTTCACAGAGAAGACCCAGCAAGGGAGTGGCTAGACCATGCTTTCATCACTAGCAACGCTGGGCCTCTAGCTCATCAGCCTAGGTGTGAAATCCCCCAGCAGGGACCTCCAGGCCCACACCTGAACAGGACACTGACGAGGGCAGCGCAGTAAGTTTGCTTTACCAGCTCATGACCTTGGACAAGTTTTTCAGCCTCCTGACTTCAGTTTTCTCACAGCTAAGTGCACACAGTGGCAGGGCCCACCTCACAGGCCTAGGGGAAGGCTCTGTGGGTATATAATTAATCTCACAAAACAGAGAATGTGCCAGTCAATGTCAACTATCCCTACTCCGTGTGTCCATAAAAATCCATTTCTATCCAGACTTCATTGTGTATACATATATGCATAGAAGGCACCCTCGTAGCACCAAGTCTGCCCTTTCCAGACTAAACAAATATAGCAACCAGAACCTCAGCGGACTGTGGTAATTGTCTTTTTTTTAAGTGACAGGGAAAGATGGAGGAAACACAAGTGAGAAAGAGCTCAAGGGGTTCCTGGAAGACCTTTGCGGACAACTTTACACTGAGGCTGAACTGATTCAGAATTCTAAGCCAAAGGTGGAGCACCTGGAAAGGGGACTGTGGGAGCTGGGCCTAGGCTGGGCAGATGCAGCAGGTTTCGGGGACTGTGGTTTGGTGTGGACGTGTCCCAGAGTGGGTGAGGATGGGCAGGTGTGATAGTGTGGGCGTGTGGAAAGCTGAAGACCCAGAGTTCTGGGGTTACGCACAGACGCCATGATGCCTGGCTCTTGTCTTCTTAGCAGAGTCAGTTTCGAGGGATTTCCCAAGAGTGAGAAGCACAGGGTAGAAAGGGTGTGGCCAGTTTGGGGACTCCAAGGACATCTGGGTAAATAATGGCTTTCCCTGAGCTCCTGCTCTCACCCCCTCCCTCATTTTGTCTCACTGTATTTAAGGGCACAAAGACTCAGAACTTGACTGGATTTTAGAATTTCAACTTTTCAATTCCTACCAATTCGGGAATCTACAATTCTGCAAGAGAGTTGGATAAATAACCACCGCATGTTGCCAACCCAAAGGCTCAAGAAATCCCCATGTGGGAGCTCACTGGCTTCTCTGCTTGGCCAAGTCACACGCATGCTGGAGGGGCCCAGGGTCTGGACTGGGGCTGTGTGAACAGGTCCCACAGCATCCCCACTCAGAATCACCACCTGGTGATTCAAACAGCCCTAACAATGACAGGGCATCATACCTGTGGTCAGAACCCAGTGTGGATTCCTAGAAGAAGAGCGCTTTTTTCAGGAACACAGATCTGATTTTCAGAGATAGCTGAGAAAGGGAACATATCGAAGGCCTTAAGGAAGGTCAGGAGCAGGACCAGTGGGACCTGAGGTAAAATGGATCAGGAAAGGTTGGGGCTACAGGGCCTGCTCACCCCAGGAGGAGTGCAAGTGGATCCTCCCAGCAAGAAGTGGGAATGTTACAGCAATTTTAGGTTTATTGGAGGCAAAGAAATAGTGGCACTCAGAGAAGTGGAGGAAACCAAGCTTTATTACTCAGACAGACTCAGAAGAGCTATGTACTCCAAAGTGTGAGCTCCGAAGTGTGTAGGAAGTTACTTTTATACTGTGTATCAGGCAGGATGGAGATCTTTTGTGAACTAGAGGAACTTCACAAACATGGGAACAAACTAGAAACAGAAACAGGCCAGGTACAGCTTGTGCCTCTGGTACAAGTTTGTTTGCAGAAGTGGAAGAAACACTGCAAACTATTGATATATCAGGGTTTTGAAACATTTTGAACACAAAAATTCTTCTACAGGAAGAGGTTTGGTTCTCCCTGCAGTCAGAAGAACACAGGCCTAGGCAGCCTCTTGGTGTCATTGCCACATCTGGGTGAGAAGTGAAGCTGCTCTGGACAGGAGCTGTGAGTGTTTCCTGCTGTGATTGCTGCGGGAGCCACGCTGCCCCGTCATCTCACTCCCCTGCTCACTGAAAGGTCACTACGCCACAGCACATGGGGGAAGCTGCCAAAGCCTGGAGGAAACTGGGTCAAGTGCTTCAGGAAAAAAGGGATTTCCAATCGGGTTCTTCCTTGTCCTGAAAATAGAGGTGTGGGGGGGGGGGGCATAGCCCAGGTAGATTCCCTGGGCTGGACCACACACACACACACACACACACACACACCCAGACACACACATACACACACAACAAAATGTATTTAAGGGGAAAATAAAAATTCCAACAAAACGTGTTACTGCAGAGGAGCAAAAGCCTTTATTCCACAGTTATTCTGCACATTTGATTCACTTTTCACAGAGGGTAATGGGGCCAGGGATAGCTCAGCAACACAGCACCTGCCTGGTAAGTATGAAGTCGCAAGTTGGATTCCTGGTACCAAAACAAAAGGTCCACATTGGGGGTAGCTAATTCTCTAGAACATCTTTTAAATAAAGTCAGTTACAGACTCAAAATTAGAACATGGTTCTAACAAATCACCCGTTCTTTTCCAGTCCCTCAGTCTCTACTTGCAAAGGTTCTAGCCCTGAAGCTTAGGGTTTGTCCATAGGAAATCAAGTGGGACAGCAGAGAAACACACAAGATTTGAAGTCAGAAGGCTTAGACCCAGAACACTGTTTGTCCTACCTACCAGTCTTTCATTTTACTTCCACACCTCCAAGAAGCCTCCACCTCCACCAGTGTCACAGAGAGTTCTGGGAAGTGCAGTATTCAGCAACTCTGTCGTCAGGCTCACATCCTCAAGTGCCTCACACCAATCTAGGCAGTCCTCGTGCCCCCAGGAGAGCTAGCAAATGTGACAGAGCCAGAAACACGGCCTGAAGTCTACAGTAGGAGATGCTGTGTAAGGCACTGGAGCATACTCTGAAATGACATTAGGATGCATACCCCATTAGCACATAACCCAGCCACAATTGTGTGTCACCGTTATCAGATGCTACATGTGTCTACAAGGCCAGCAGAACAATGGGTGGCCAAAATCTCCATGCTCACGTGAGTTGGAGGCAAGAGCAACGTTTCTGCTGTAACCTTAGGGGAACAGATAATTCACTCTGTACCAACATGCAGGACTATACCCATCATAAGAGTTTAACTGAGAGCCACACTCAGTGTCACATACCTATAAGTCCAGCACTCTGCGAAGCTGAGGCAGGAGGATCCCAAATTCAAGCCAATAACCCTCTATTTTTTAAGTTTGTTTTTTAAAAAACTACATCCGGGGATGTAGTTCAGTGTGAAGGCCATGGGGTCAATTCCCAGTACAGAAAAAAGGAGAAAACAAAGTTTAACTGCAGTAACATGTGTGAATGCACAACCTATAAAATGCCTAGACAATGATAAATCCAGACTACACTGTTAGCAACTGGTTTTGGTTTCCAATAGGTAACCAGGAAATCTGTTTCAACTGCTAGGCAGTGTGGGGTGCAAGGAAGGCAGATCGCTCTTGGTAAGACTAAAATGGAGGGCAGCCTCCCCTCAGAACAGAGACCAGACAGGGGGCAGAAGTTTGGTGTGAAGCCTTCTGGCTCTGTTCTCAGAGACCTGTGTGCACAGTCTGCAGGTATCTGCCTCAGACAGAGGACACCAGGCAGTGCCTCTGCAGTGGGCACCTGTGTAACATGCAGCTTGAGTATGCAGTGCGGGCCACAGGCTGGCTGGAGAGCAGAGCGTGGGCACAAGCACCTTGGGCCAGCTCTCCTGCTGCAGGAACCTGCACCCCATTAGAGGACAGTGAACCAGGCATGCGGCTACTGGATGGACATGTGAAACTTCCTGTGAGGAACATCATGGGTGTCAAGAACTTGAGGTGCAGAGGCAAGGCATGACAGAAAGTGACCCATGGGCTGGGCCACTTCCTGACAGTGAACAGAGGGTTACAGGAGACCACCTTGGACAGGGAGTAGAAGTGACGTTACCTGAAGAATTAAGCATAATACCAAGGAGGGTATCTTTCTGCAATGGTAGATCCTGGGAGTTCTCAGGTAGGGCAGTGACCAGTGAAAACATTTTGAGGAGCTAGCCCTAGGTTTGAACCAGTATCCTTTTGGGGATCTAGCCTTGTTTGGGAGAGAGTATAATTGATTTCCTTTTAGGAAAATGAACATATTTCACTGTCTACACTAATAGCTCCCAGGCATAGCCTCCACAGAGCCTGCTCCCATCCAAAATGCACAGCTGTTTGTAGAAAGCATCCAACTAGCCAGGCATAGTGGCACACACCTGTAATCCCAGCACTTGGGAGGCTGAGGCAGGAGGACCACTGTGAGTTCAAGGCCAGCCTGGGCTACATAGCGAGTTCAAGACCAGCCTGAGATACACAGTGAGACCCTGTCAAAAGGAAGGAAGGAAGGAAGGAAGGAAGGAAGGAAGGAAGGAAGGAAGGAAGGGAGAAAGAAAGAAAGGCAGGCAAGATTTAAACCATGGACTCCATCTCCCCATTTCATCATCCCTTGCAGCTAGATGGAGCCATGTCAATGAGTTTCGGCCACTAAGCATGGCTGACCGACCATGGCATCATCATGAAAGAACACCCCACTCTCACCTCCTTCCCTGGGAAGTGTTGACATACAGTGTGAGGCCACTGCAAGGCCTTCCTGGGCTTACTTCCTGAAGGGCTCCACAGAAACCCCCTCTCTCCCACCACTGCCTGCTTCCTCAGGACCCAAGCATCCATCACCCACTGTGATGTTCACTGGAACTCTGGAGTGAATCACAAATAGTAACGAGCTTTATTTCCATCATGCAAGGGCTTGGGGGGCTGTTTACATTTGGCACAGGATTGCACGTATCTATGGGGTACAGAGCTCACAGAATACTAACCTCCTCAAGCATACCATTTCTTTGGCAGGGACAGTCAAAAGCCTCTCCACTGGGTATACTGAAATGTACCTGTTGTCAACCATGGTTTACCTTCCTATGTGATGGACACTGGAAGTTGTTCCTCCTCTCCAGCTGTACCCTGGTACCCACCACCATGCTCTCTGCGTCTCCCTCCCCAAAATGCAAAGTACCGATAAACCTGTTGAGTTGTACATTCCACTGAACCCTTTAGGCCTGGGAGCTTTTAGTTACCTTTGTTTGTTTTTAAGGTTGGATTGTTTTTGAGGTGCAAGGATGGAGCCCAGGGCCTGTGCATGCTTGGAAAGCACTCCACCACCGAACCACACTCCTAGCCCTTGCCTGGGAGCGCTTTTGTTTTGTTTGTTGTTTGTGTGTTGTTTGTTTGTTTGTGGTATTGGAGACTGAACCCAGGGCCTTCACACTGTGCTACACCCCTAGCCCTTTTTTTTTTTTCTTTTAAGACAGAGTCTCACTAAGTTGCCTGGGCTAGGTTTGAACTTGCAGTCATCCTGCTTCAGTCTCCCAGAATGCCACCGTACACCTGGTTCATCCCGGGAGTTTTGTACATTTTTAGGTTACCCAGAAACAGGATGAAGTGTCGGCCCTTCTATGAGCCCCTCAGCCTCCCATTTCAACAGTGTGAATTTGGAAGTCTCCAGGGTCCGTATTACTTCCATGAGGGTTACAAAGAGTAGATTAGTCAGGCCTCTTCAAACAATTTTTGGTCTCTAAGGCTTTTTTTTAAAAGTCTTAAAGCATGGCTTGGTGGTACGCACTTATAACCCCTGTGAGGCTGAGGCAGGAAGATTGCAAGTTGGAGCCCAACCTAGGCAATTTAATGATTTATCAAAACCCTGTCTCAAAATAAAAAGTACAAAGGGTTGGGGATGTCACTCAGGTGAAGGCCCTGGATTCAATCCTTACTAACATACACACAAAAGGTTTTGTTGTATTGTCCAGGGTGGCCTTGAACTCCTGGGCCAACTAGTCCTCCCTCTTCAGCCTCCCAAGTAACTGAGACTGCAGAAGCTTGCCACCTCACCCAGCTTCTCAGACTTTTAACAAGGCTTCAGACAGCAAAAGTATGTGAACTGCCAGTTGCATTTTAAAGCATTTACAGTCCAAGGATAAAGTCTTAAATATTTTCTGCCTGGAATTCTTGTACAGAAAATTAGTCATACATAGATGTCTGGCTCTGAGCACTTGATTTAGCAGCACATATACTAAAATTGGAACAGTAGAAATAAGATGTGATTGGCCCCTGCACAAGGATGATGACACTGAAATCCATGAATCATTCCATATTTTCCTGTGTAAAAAAATCAGGCTCTGAAGTAGGTGTGAAAAGTGATTGCTGAGCAGGACCCACACATAGAGAAAACGGGTTTCTGGGAAGTCACGGAAAGCAACAGAAAAAGACCTTTTTATCAGGTGTGTAAGAAAAGCAAGGTGAGCTGAGTGTGGTGGTGCAGGCCTGTAACTCCAGTGGAGGTGGGGTAGAAGGATGGCAATCCCAGGACTTTTTTTTTGGAAACAGTGTCTCACTAAGTAGTCTTTGACTACAAAAAAAAAAAAAAAATCAAAGTATCATGGTACTGGTGGTGCCCAAAATGCTCCAACTTAATCAATGAGAAGTTAGAAAACCAGCTATGGCCTGAAAAAGAAAATCTCCATAGGACATCCTTTCAAAGCCAGTCTTCCTGACCAGCCTCTTCCTTCTCACTCATTACCTTCATTTTTTGTGTGAGGTATCACCCAAAGTAAATCATTCTTGCTTGAGTTCTTTAGAAGGAAGAAAAGTATTCTCAACACAAAGGAGTAGAAAGATAGTAATCACAGAAATGAAGAAAGGTTTCTGAAAACCAAGACTTAGTCCAGAGTACATTAACATCAGGACCAAAGAAAATTAGGAACTTTAGCTAACAACACCCAACACAGCTGAGGCAGGAGATTAGGGTGTGGCCAGAAATCTGGGCAAGTGGGTGTAACCTGTCAGTCATGGAGGTCTAGGACATGCACGAAACGTAGTTTCCATGCCCTGCACCTGGGACCAACCAGAAAGTGCTATCTTCAATTCTTCTGGTGCAAGGTCAACCGAGTACTTGATAGGACAGCCTAGATCTGACATCAGTCTGATAAACAGGGGCTACAAAGATGTCCACTGTTAAACATGTGGCCACTGAGCTTTCTCAGTGGCCTGCTCTCATTCTGCAGAGATGTTCTAGCATAAGTAGGTTGTGGCCATGATTGACAGGTCATACCCACTTGCCCAGATTTCTGGCCACACCCTAATCTCCTGCCTCAGTTGTGTTGGGTGTTGTCTTAATTACTTCTCTCTCATTGCTGAGTCAAAATACCCAATGCCCAAAATGAAGGAAGGAAAGGTTTATTTAGCTTACAGTTTGTGGAGGTTTCAGTCCACACTTGGCTGGCTCCGAGGCAGAAGATAACAAAGCAACAAGAGCAAAGGGGGGAATGGCAGCCGGACAGCAAAGCAGCCAGAGCAAAAGGGGGGAATGGCAGCAAGCAGCCTCTTTTCCTCCCTCACATTGTAAACAGGCTACCCCCACCTAAAGGGCTTATAATCTCCATGCCCTCCTCTTCCACAGGCTCAGGATGTATACAAAGTAAGCACCCTGGCTTCCTGCTGGGTCACTTAGCCAAACCTCTAGACTCCCCAAGTTGACACAATGTATCAATCATAACAGGTGTTGTTAACTAAAATTCCTAATTTTCTTTGGTCCTGATGCTAATATACTCTGGACTAAGTCCTGCTTTTCATAAACTCTTCCTCATTTCTACAATTACTATCCTCCTATTCCTTCATGTTGAGAATATTTTTCTTCCCTCTGAAGAACTCAAAGTCCTCTATCATCAGGACCACTACGGAAGCTACAAGGGAACATAGAGTACATCTGATTAAACCTTGTTAAATAAAAAATAGGAGGACACCGTTTTTGATGGAGCTCCTGCATCGGGCCCCAATAGACCAAACTAAACAGCAAGATGGAATCACTCTTGAT